AGTTTTCAATTTTTTTTTTCAATTAATTTTTTTCAAATAATTTGTTTTCCAAATAATTTTTTTTTCAATTATTTTTTCCAAAAAAAAAAAATTTCCAATTAATTTTTTTTTCAAATAATTTTTTCCCAATTAATTTTTTTTAATTAATTTTTTTCCAATTATTTTTTTAATTAATTTTTTTCAATTATAATGTGTGTGATTCCATTATCATAAATAATAAAAATAAATATAAATTAGTTTATGCTTTTAAATTTTTTTAAACATTTTATTCAAACCAAACGCGTTTGTAATTTATATTTTTCTTAAAATAAACAAAAACCAATTTATAAAAATTTTGTAAACATAAACAAAAAACGTAAACGTTATCAAACGCTACCTAAACATTTCGTATTCAGTTTTCAATTTAAATTTATAAAAATTTTAAAAACTGTCATAAAAATTTGTTTGATATTTTTTTTGATTTATAAATGGTTGTCCCAGTTTGTAAATTTGAGGAAAAAACGTAAATTCAAAAATGAGTTTACATTGGTTTTTAAACAAAAATTTAAAAATTTTACTAACAATTTTTTTTTTCAATTAATTTTTATTTCAAATAATTTTTTTCCAATTAATTTTCTTTTCAATGATTTTTTTTTTCCAACTAATGCTAACCATGGGGGCAATTGGTAATTCTACTTTAAACCTTAAGGAGGGGATTGTAATTTTCAAAATGTGAGGAGTGTCAATATAATTCACCCAGTGAGGGCAAAATTGGTATTTAAAAAAATTAAATTGCTGAAGGGAAGAATCTGTAATGAAACTTTAAATCTCAAGGAGGGTGATGTAATTTTCAAAAGCTGAGGGGGAAACTGTAATAAATATAAACCTTAGGAGGTGTCAATGTAATTTATCAAAAAATTAAAATGATTAGATATTAGGGTAAATCCCAAATCACAAGTAAATAATCTCATCACTCAATCTTACCGTACTCACTAACCCAATCTACCTAGTAAGGAAAACAAACATGACCTTAGTTCCAATGATAGAAATTTGGAGGGAAAATGAGAATGTGAATCCAAATTTCTATAATTTTACTGTTTGTAACTAATTAGAATGGGATAATACCTACTAACACTGTAATCATTTTTCTTAACTAAGCAAAAATCTAATCCCACACTACCCCTAATAATCTCATGTTTGTAGATAACCTGAATCATTTAAGAGTAAAAATAATAATAACCCCAAGAAATTCTATTATAGAAAATTTATTATTAAACAACTGCTTAAATAATAATAGCACAATAATTTTATTACTAATAACATAATTTTTTATAATGAGTTTTTCATTCTCTCTCTTTAATTCTTACCATTCAAAGGACACAAGCCCTCTAGTGTGATTGCCTTCCAAGAACATGTTAAGCTGACCAATTTGAGCAAGTGCATATTCAAAAAGAAATTTGATACTTGGCATTTCATAATGCACAAGCATTACTGTGTTCTATGAAATATGTTAGAACACACAACACACATTAATGAAGCAAATAGAGTATAAAATGAACCACCAGCTTAAACAAAACAAATGGAATGTGCGAATGCCTTGGCAGCGTGCGATTATGAATGCCTCAGCAGTCTAAACTCGTACATTCATCAGTCTCTGAGGAACTCTACTATCTTATAAATAAACACCGACACTGTACAAAAACAAGATTGTAATGACACAGTTCGGATAAAGAACATAGCTCATTGCATAGAAGAACAAAGCTAAGGTTTAAAGGAATGCATAATTAGGTCAAAGCCAGTTTCTACTTATTGCTATTTTCTTCATAATCTTGTGACCACAAGATTGGGAATTTTACTTGGGTCGACTACGGTACGGATATAGAATGTCATCAAGACGTCGTTTCATGTGATTGCTTACTCTACGCAGGTTCTTGGCCACCCCCGTTGCAACCACGCTTGCATTTCTAGAAAATCTGCAGTTATAAACATAATACAAATTTTAAACCTTGTGAGAATTAACATTGAATTCTAACCGATTGAAAAAGTAATCATATAATTGGCTTGCCTGCTCAAGAACTCATCCCCTACGGAGTAAGCAGGTTATTGTATTCAAGGCTGAGGAAATCCACGAGCATCTTCAAGAAAGAAATACCATATATTAGAGTCACAGTAATTATACCAAAACATAAGCCACATAACATTCCAGGTAATGAATTCAAATCATTAAAAAAAATGCCAGTAAATGGAGAAATTTCCATATGATACAAAATTAGGAGCACAAATAAGAAATAGTCGATAGACAGAACTAGAGGAAAACTTTTCATAACCAGTATAACCAGTAAATGCCACGAGGAAAAACAAGATGATATCTTCATTGTTAACATGGCCACTAAAAAGCTTGCAATAATTTTTTTGAAGGAAAGATTTACCAAGAAAATGAAGTCCAAAACCTAGGGAGCATGGATTCAGAGAAATGTTCATGCCCAACAAACATTGGATACCAACACTCATCAAACATGTCCTGTTATTGTTATAGTTAGTTTTTTCTTTTTTTTACCCCCATCCAAAATCAGCATTACTTTGGACACATGCAGAACACTATGGTCTAAACACAGATAAAGCACATCTTGAATCTTGATGCAGGTTTGAAGAAAATAAAATGGGGGCCAAAGATCAAAATCAAAATTACGAATTTGTACATATTAACCCCTCCTTAAGGTTATATAATTTTTGAAACCAGTGGGTACCTGGTCCCACCATGCCACATGCCATTGCCACATCATCTCCAAGATCCCTCCATGTCAATCTCATGAGGTGATATGTGGACCACTCAAATGTGTCATACTAGCTCCTCCCTTGGTCAAGCTATGTTGTTCCTAAATGAGGTTAACGCACATAGCACCTTAGTCTCAACTCTCAAGACAAGTTACATGAACTTAGATGTAAGTACAGAGTGCAAGATGTGTCTCAACATCAATTCATCTAATTCCGAAGTCTAAGGACACCATGGCATGGCTACATATTTCTATTATATTAACATTCTTTTTCATTTTCTAGGGTAAAATATGTTTATAAAATAACATAGAGCAGTGTATCTATAGCATGGAAGTTCTACCAGAGTTTTACAGTAAAATTCTGCAAGTGAAAATATTTGTCGGGTGCCCTCCAACTAAACATGTTGAACATATATTCATATCATTAACCAAGTGTTGAGTGCCCACTGTCAATACGTCACACATTTAAAAAGTCTATGTAACATGCTTGGGGCCCTTCAGCTCAACCAAGCAAGCTTCCACTTGAGCATGTCCTTTCTACTCTAAGTGATGAAATGCTCAGACCCTCCTTGGCTCAACAAACAAACAACTCTTCACCTTAATGTATCCATCCTATGACGCATAGTCATTTCACTCCAATGGCACCTTAATGTTCTCACACAACATATGTTAGAAATGTTAGACTTAGGGATCCCTCAGGGTAGGTGTTGTGATTTTGACCTACGAGACTTCTAGGGATATGTGATGTGGTGGCTAGAATTCATCCAGTTACTCATCCATGTTCCCAAGGAACCTACTTA